ATCCCATTGGTCATAAGTTTTTTTTTTTTTTTTTTTTTTCTTTATGGATGTTTCCTTCTTTGAGTTTGAACCATTCTTCCCTACTTCTTCTTAGGGGGAGAGGAGCATGGAAGAGGAGAAGAAGGTCCGTCAAATCTCTCTTCTTTCTATTCTAGATCCTGCTCCCTTTTGTATCTTCCCATGTAAGCTCCGTAGATATCAACAATGTGACAAAGATGTGGAGCCACCAAACATTGAGCAATTGACACCTTCTGACTCCTAGAAGGTAAGTCCAAATGAACTAGGCATTCCTACTGCACCTGTTGATACCCCTACTCCCATTTTGGTTGTGGATGAGCTTGACATTCCTATTGCTCAAAGAAAGAGTCAGGGCATGCACTACTAAACACCCTATTACCCAATGTCTCCTATAATCACATTTCCCCCTCGTACCGGGCCTTCCTATTTATAGTTGATTGCATCCCAGTACCTAAAAATGTTGTAGAGGCCTTAAAATTCCCTGAATGGATAGATGCTATGAAGGAGGAGATTAATGCCCTACATAAGAATCCAACTTGGGAGTTGGTGGATTTTCCAAGAGGGAAAGACCCAATGGGGTGTAAGTGGGTCTTTCCCTCTTAGAAGATCCATCAACTCCCAAGTTTGATTCTTATGTAGGGCTTTAATCTCCTTTTTCATAGCATCTGTCAATTTAGGGTACTTTAGTGGTAAACATCCACTAAAATACTTTCTTGGAATTGAAGTAGCCCGCTCAAAAAGGGGTATCTTCATTTCTCAAAGGAAGTACACCCTTGATTTGTTACAAGACACAAGCAAGTTAGGGGCAAAGCCAGTTGATACTCCCATGGATGTTGACCATAAACTGGGTAATTGTGATGGTGAACCTTTGAAAGATGTAAAACAATTTCAAAAGTTAGTGGGAAGGTTGCTTTATTTGTCCATGACCCGTCAAAACATTGCTTATTCAGTTGGGGTCCTGAGTCAATTCATGAATTCCCTAAGAGACCATACTATGGAGGCAATAGAGAGGATTCTTAGGTATTTGAAAAAGTATCCAGGAACAGTTCTGCTATTTATAAACATAATCATCTGAACGTGGAAGTTCTATATAGATGCTGATTGGGCAGGTGCTGTGGATGATAGAAAGGCCACAAGTGGGTACTGTAGATTTGTGGGAGGAAATCTAATGACATGGATTGATAAATAGCAAAGTGTGGTATCAAGGTCAAGTGCTGAAGTAGAGTATAGGGCTATGGCAGGTAGCTGAAGTACTTCGGCTAAAAAATCTTTTAGGGGAACTTGGAGTTACTGTTCATAATCCTATGTCTCTTTACTATGACAATAAGGCAACCATAAACATTGCCAACAATCCTGTCCTATATGAGAGAACCAAGCACATTGAAGTGGACAAACACTTCATAAGGGAAAAATTGGAAAAAAAGAGAAATTTGTGTTCCTTATGTCAACTCCAAGGAACAACTAGCTGATGTTCTCACAAAAGGGCTTCCATACTCGCGACACAATGAGTGTGTGACAAGTTGGGCATGATAGACGTGTTCAGCCCAACTTGAGGGGGAGTGTTGTTAGTGTTATTCTTTATCTATACGGTTAGTGTGCTGTTAGCCTAGGATGCTGTCAGCTTGTTCTTTTCTTCTTTTAATTAGATTATTATTAGGGTGTGCCGCCAGGGGTATAAGTGTAATCTCTTTTTTTTTTATTTTATGTTATGTTATTATAAATGAGAAGTTGTGCGCCGCCAGTAGCATTTTTTGACTCTTAAACTGTTTTCCCTCTCTTTTCTTATCTATTTTCTCCTCTCCTCTCTCTCCTCACTCTTTTCTAGAAAGAAAACAGAACCAATGGATATTCAATGAGAAATTCAAATCAAGGGAGGAAATGATTGAAACCATAAAGATCAGAACCCCACATTGGGTTAAAACATTGGACCTTTTCAGAAATATATCTACAGACAATAATGTACTAAGGAATTGGAGGGAAGTAGCGCAATCAGAAATGCATAAAGAGAAGGCAAGAATGAGTTGGAAACCACCAGGACCAAACAAGCTAAAACTGAACTTTGATGGCCGTTCCTTATAGCAATCCAGGGAGGGCTGGATAGGAGGAGTTATTTGGAATCATCAAGGAGAAGTTGTGGCATTGTTCATTGGACCAATTGGCTTTGAAGACTCAATTCAGGCTGAAAGTCAGGCTCTCCTACGAGGTCTAAAACTAGCTGAGCAGTTGGGAGTAAGAGAGGTGGACATTGAGGGGGATTCACTATTAGTTATAAACTGGGCTAAACAAATTGACCTAGCACCTTGGAATCTTAGGTTCATCTTTAGAAAAATTGGCTCATTAGCAAGAAAATTCAGTTCCACCTTCGATTGGGTCAAAAGGTAAGCAAATAGTATGGCGGATGCTCTAGTAAAACAGAGAACTGATAAACCCACTTTATTTTGGGCATGTCTGTAATATGTTGTAACTGGGTCATGAAAAGATAACTTGCATTGTATTTTCAAAGTCCCTTTAATTAATAAAAGGTTTCTGATTTACTAATACAAAAGCTCATTTTTTGCTCCTCAATTCTCCCAAAGTGATCCCTATTCCAAAATTTTATTTCAAATCTTAATCTTTGCAATTTCTTATGGAATTTGACACCCTTCTATTTTACCCCACTTAACTCCTCATTCCACCACTCCACTTTATTTACAAAATCTGGGCGAGTTAGCCACATATTTTCGAATCTAAAAGGGCTAGATCCAGTAACAAAAGACTCCACACCTATTTTGATAGGATGGTGATCAGAAGTTACCCTAGGGAAGGCTCTGGAAACCAAGTCTTCCTAGTAATTCTCCCAAGCTAGATTAAAAAGGAATCTATCCAATTTCAAACAAGATTGGACCGAGTGAATCTGGATTGCAACAGAGGGATTTTCTTTAGCTCACAATCTTCAATAAAGACATTGAACTTCCTCATACTAGGGATTTCTACGGTGAAACGTATACATTAAAATCCTTCCCAAGCACCAGGGGCCATCCCATAGCCCTTGAATTGTGTACAACTCCTCCCACATTACATTCCTTTCTCTGTAATTATTCGGGCCGTAAACATTGGTTAAAACCCAAACGAAACCATCCACCACATTCTTGAACATGATGGAAACTGAGAATCTACCTATCAATTCCTCCATTGGTTCCACTACATTGTCCTTCCAGAGTGTGATGATTCCCCCTGAGGCTCCCTTGGAGGGAGCCGAGGTCCAACCTACATCCCTAGATCTCCAAAAGCTCCACCCACCTTCCATCCAATTCTGACTGTTTTGTTTCTTGTAGTAGCACATTGTCAGGCTTTTCCTTTTTCAGTCAATCCTTAATCACCCTTCTTTTTCTTGCACTTCATAAGCCTCTCAAATTCCAGCTAATGATTTTCATAGTAACGATTTATAACAGACTACAGACCCCGATGCTCTTGCCTCGCTCCCCTCACTTGGGTGCCCTTCCTCCTGTCTTTCCTACCACTAAATTCTATATCTCCCTCAGTATCAGAAATTAACCTTTCCACCTCACTTCTTTTTTTTTTTTTCTTTTTCTTTTCCTTTACCCCTCATTCTTCCTAGCAAAAATTTTCACCTTTTCCTTCCCTCCAAGCTTTTTGGCCTTTTGCTCTATCGTACCATTTTTTGAACAAAGGTCTGTTCCTTTAGTTTCTTCCCTCTCAGTAGCAGCGGGGTCCTTGCTAGATGTTTTCTCATGTTGGCCACTCCTTTCCTCAATACCTTCCCTCTGTTTCAGATCCTCAAATTCAGTACAGGTCATATTCCAAATTCTATCCGCCTCCTGACTCGACCCCTTGCTAAATTCTTCTATAATCTCCTCTCTATCTTCCCCAAACAACCTCTCCCTTGCACTGTTTTCTGCTTCTGGGTGGGATGTTGGTGCATCTATTACAGGCACACCACACGAGTTAGTGACTAAAACCGAATTGACAACTGTACTTGGGTGGACAGAAGGGGCACACGGAACAATGGGGCTGATATGCTGAGCTTTTACATTTGGTTCTGAAGCCTTCTCCTTAACTGGAGATTGTCGGGGAGTGGTAATGGCACAGTAAACACCACCGCCTAGCCTACCTGCTTGAGGACACTTTCCCAATATTCCCGGTCCTGGAGTACCTTCATCCAACCTCATGGTAGAGTTCTGCCATCCTTCACACTGGTCTTGTGGGTCCTGAGAACCTTGATCAGCCCCATTCGTCAAACAGCAATCACTCGTACATGGTAGTAAGAAAATAGACCTTTTAGGTTTTATTAATTTCATTTTCAAAGCATATTTTACTGTTGCTTCTTTGTTCATTTTTCCTTCTAAAATTTAAGATTTCCATTGCTTTATCCAAATTAATGTATTCCATGCATTCTCAAAATAGTTTGATTTATGTTTCCCATGAATTTTCTCTACTACATCCAACTGAAAAAGTCCATCCAGAACTCTTAGATGAATATGATCATATTTATCTAATATCACCTCTTTGTACCTATTTAAGAATACATGCTAATTAGGTAATTTAATTATATTCTCTCTTAAAACAATTTTAACTAAAAGTATCCTATCTTGCATTGCTTCCATTAATAAAGAGCAGCCCAGTGTATGAGGCTCCTGCGAATGTGGGGTCTGGGGAGGGACAGATTTATGCAACCTTACCTCTGCACATACAAAGAGTTTCCAAGATTTGGACCCTGGTCACCCATGTTGCAATGGATAGGTCCAACCATTGCTTCCATGGATACCCTACCATAACTGAAATAGATGTGAGGATTATGTTTGGATTGTTTGGCAACTTGTATAACACTTCCTTGTTCAGGCTATGTTCAGCAGTACAGGGGAAATTCTTAAAGAAGGCCTAGTTACTCCATCTGAGAAATCTTTTAATTCATTTTAGAATCTATTCAAGCTGTTTCTTTAAAACTTTTGTCTATATTATTGTTCATTACTTTTCTGTTGCAGTGGTGTTGAAAGGGGTTTCAAGGATAAAACTTACCCTAGAGTTGTAAAGATGATCTTATCGGCTACCCTGACCCAAGATCCTAGCAAGCTTGCTCAGCTTGATTTGCATCACCCTTTGTTGTTGACAACTGGGCCACGACGTTATCAACTACCTGAAAAGTTGAAATCTTACAAATTGGTATGTCTTGATGAGCTATCTTAATAGTAAATTTTGTGCCGTTGAATCTTTCCCTCATCAATTTCAAATTGGGTCCTAGTGGCATGTACACCTGACTGCATATGGTGCATGGGGTGGTCTGTGCACCATGGTGCAAGTGCACATCCCTTAATTCTTTCCCTCATCATTGTGCATGGCCAATGCAGCAGTGCGTATGCCCCACTCCAAATGATGCATGGGGTGGGCTGTGCACTATGGTTTACATGCATAGTCAACTGCACATTGTGCAAGGGGTTGGCTATGCATCATTGTGCATGAGGTGGGCTGTGCATCATTGTGCTTGACTGATGCAGCAGACCACATGCCCGATTGCACATGGTGCAAGGGTTGGCTGTGCATCATTGTGCATGGAAAAGAATTACATTCAAGATCTAGTGGTTCTAATTGTAACACTCTAGTTAAAATTATAAGCTTATAAAAAATCATAGAGAGGATGGATCGAATTGAATTATATATCTACACTAGAGGAGTAAAATTATATAATCAAGTCTGACTTAATTAAGTTAGGGTCCATTTTGTTTGCAGTCGGAATTGGAATCAAAATTCCTCAGAATTAGAATTGGAATGGTCTATCCCCATAGTCTGTTTGGATCAGAGAAGAATTGGAATCAGATGGAATGGGATTTCATTCCCGAGGGGGAGGGAATACCCATTCCCTCAAATGGGGGAGTGCCATTCCACTAGGAATGGGAATGGGATTCCGATTCCGTGCAACCAAAAGTTGCCATTCCAGACCTCTATTCCTGCAAACCAAACGGGCCCTTAATTATAATGGTTCTTTAACCTACACAAGAAGGAAGGTGCCAATTGGCTAAGCTGGTAAGGTCTTTGGCTGGTTGTAGTGGAGACTTGGGACTGAATCCTGCCTTGATCAGGGTTGGGGGGGTTATGGTTATTGAAGGTGACTCGAAAGTGGTGATCAGTTGGATAGCGAAGAATCAGCGTGGAGCTTTAGAAATGAAGTCAGAAAGTTTGAATGGTATTCAAGAGATTTGCTAGTTGAAACTCAATGGGTGCAAAGGTCAGCAAATAGTTTGGCAGATGCTTTGGCAAAACAAGGGGCAAGTAGACAACAATTGTTTTGGGCTCAAATTTAATCTTGGGGAGGGGGTGAGATAGAAAAGACTATGCTCACGTTAAAGAATTGGCTTCCATATTTGCTAGCTATTACTCGTCGCTGTATCATGTTTTCTTCTTTAAACATCTCCATAGTCGATAACATTTTGCCTACTAAGACCATATTCATCATGCCTGAGCTATGTTGGCATCTCTAACTGTAATCTAGAATTGCAAACTTTATTACAAGATGTAAAATAGCCCCAAAAGGTGATTTTTTCTTATTGTTTAACACTCACTCTATGTGGATTCCTTGATTTGAATGATTTTTTCATATCAAAGGAATTAAAACCACTAAGTGGGTCATATCTTTAGTGAGTAATTAGTAGGATCTGTGCGGTGCATTGGAAAACCCAATATCCAATTTGATGACAAAAAAGATCAAAAGGATATATTAAGCATTAACCATATGATAAATTTATCTAAGTGATATATTGAAGAGTGATAGGGCTAACCATATCCAACTCATTAAATGAATAATGGAAAAATGTTGATTCAATTACAAATATGTATATCAGTTATTTAAAAGGCACGCTTGAGGTGTGCCTAGGTGCACATGCGAGGCGTATTTTGGGGTATGCGCCTCTCCTAGGTTCTAGGCGCACCCCTTTCAAAAGGCGCATGCCTGGTGCACCTAGGTGTGTGCCTTTTTAAAATTTTGTGTTTTTTTGCTTTTTTTTTGAGTCTAATGAGTGGGTTAGGGGCTTCGCCCCTGGACTAAGACCACGCCTAGGTCCTAGGCACACCCCTATTTGCTAATGTTGTTCATTCATTCATTGCGATAAAATATCTTCTTAAAAGGCAATGAAAGTTATAAAATCATTATTTTTTATGTGAGAAATAAGAATTTCAGACTCTAACGTAGACTTGTTCGGGCTTGCCTCGAGGGGCGTGGTACAATGGTGACTTATAGAATCAAGTATGCAATATGTTTTACATCACATTAGCTACTTGAAGCAATGCAATTAAGGAAAAAAAGAGATTGTGGGTTTTACATGCTTGAAAATCCTTTATATGTTTGCTTTTATTCTTTTAAATTTTCATTTGAATACATTTTACATGTTATGTATATGTATTTTAATTTTAGATAATAGGTTTTTTAAAACATTTATTTTAAAATCTAATTTTATATTTTTATTAACATTATGTTTAATATTTTTGTTTTTTTGCATTTTTAAATTTTTTTGAATATTTAGATTTTCTTTTTGTAATTTTGCACCTTGCTTAAAAAGGCGTGCACCTTGCCTTGCGCTTTTTTTGCACCTTGCGCTTTTAAAACACTGATGTATATAAAAAACCTATGTATTAAGTGTAACAAAACAAATAGTGTAACTATGTATATTCATGTAAGCAAAGTATATTTAGTTGGAATTCTCTATAACTTATGATAATGTTGAACTATCTTCACTCATTTTTTATTACTAGAAAGTGTGCACGTGCTTTGCACGTGGCAATTTTTGATGATGAGGATAGTAAATATTGTTTTGAAATTTTTTTACAATTTTTTTTAATATTTGTCTATAAAAATTATTCTTATTTGTCACACATATTTTTGTTTAATATGATGAATATACGATATTAGAAAGGTGCCTAAATGATTTTTTTTTTTACTTTTTTTTGTATTTTTATACTTATGTGTTTTTTGTCTTTTTAATTATTATTTAATTATGACATTAAGGGTTTACACATTTGACCAAAAAAGGTTGAATTGTTGACTCACCACCAAATAGGAAAACATTTCCATTTTTGTGTTGTTTTTAAATTTGTATTTTCTTTTTATCATCAATAAAAACAATTATTCTTTGTTACAGTTATTTTTCTTTAATATGGTTAATTAATATAAGATTCAATGAAAGAATGATAGTTAATACCCTAAATATAAGATTTAATGAGAGGGAATTAAATGGGGAGAAATGTTGTAGTTAAGATTACATTGTGTTCTCATAGTTAGAGAGGGACCAAATTCAAAAGTAGGGGGTATTCTAGTCAATAATAAGATTTAATGAATGTTAATGGGAATTAATACCTTAAATCTAAAGACTAAATGAGATAAATTTGAATGAGGAGAAAAGTGGTTGTTCAAATTGCAATTTTGTCCTTATAATTAGAGAGTAACCAAAACAAAAATTGGGGATTTTGGTCAGACAAAAGTTCCTCATTCTCATTAACACTTTTAATAGTAGTATTGGCTAATCATAAAAGCATTACTTTGTAAATTGTTCGAAGAAATATTTAATTAAATTATGAATTAATATATAATAATTTTTACTGACCATGATTTTAGCGGTTCTTCCTCAACAATACTAGAATTAAAAAATAATTGTGTATTTTTGTAGTGGTATGGTGTGTCTTGTCACCATTTCTCATGTGAAATTGAAACTTAGTATTAAATAAAGATAATTTAATGCTACCTTTGTAGTGTGTAACATTTACGCATCTACCAATGACAATTGCGGAGTTTTTCTTTTATTTCTATAATTTGTGAAAACATTGTATATACAAATCTATCCCATATGGTCAAACGTATTGGAACCATCTTGTCATTAATAATAAGTAATGTAATAAATAAAAAATGCAAAATATACTTAGAATCCAAGAGCATGTAAGTTAATAATACTTACTATATATCCAATAAATTAATTTCGTTTTTTTTGGAGCTCAGATATATTGGAAAAATGTGATCCACATAGATAATTGTTTCAATGACATCTACAATGGATATAAATGTTTAGAAGAATATAAATTTTTATAATACATTTTATTCGGAAAATAACACATTAGAACATAACTATGTATACATTTTTCTCTGCATATTCTGCAATCTTGTCAAATGGAACAAAATTATACTTATACAATGGGATTTCTATGCAATTGTCTATGCTACATATAATTTTTATATCTTTAGTGAAGTGTAAATGTATATTTGTTTGAGTCCTGGTATACTTGGAATGGGCACAATAAATGCTTAATCTTGATATATAATATAACACGCCCTCTTGTAGTATATCTCTAAAAATTTTTATTATTTCATCGAACATTTTCACTTCAACATTATCCCCTTGCAAATGTAGCAAGGATTTAATTAATTAAAAATGATCTTGTAAAATGCATTAAGCTACTCAATATAAAGTAAGATGATTTATTTATGTTAAAATTTACCATGGCGTCCACAAAAATCACTTTGCATACTCTATGAATTCCATTGTTTGTTATCTCCATAGTCAACAATTTGCCTAATAAGACCATAATCATCATGCCTAAGCTATGTTGCCATCTCCAGTTGTAGTCTAGAATTGCAAACTTTACTCATAAGTTATAAAATAGCCTAAAAATGCGACTAAGTGGATTCCTTGATTTGAAAAATCTTTTCCTATCAAACGAACTAAAACCACTAAGTGGGTCATATCTTTATTGAATAATTAGGGTTGACCAGTTGTCGTTTTTAGGATTTTTTTTTGAAAGATAAAGGAAAAGAAATTTTATTAAAATGAAAAAGAAGTTACAGACTATTTGGTTGTTAAGGAGACACACCAAAATTAAAAAACTGATCAAACTGAAAAAAGATTCATCGTTAAATGACTGTAAATCAAGAATACCCCAGAAATTCTCTATCAAATCAGCTCTTCTAACTTGATCTAACTCTGGTAGAAACAACACCCAATCAGTTACCAATTTTCCCACAGCAGCTACTATTAACTCAATATTCTTAGATTTGTTTTCAAATTCTCTTCTATTCCTTTCTATCCACAATGATCAGCAGTCTGCAAAGGGAATGCAACTCCACATAATTCTGGCTTTCTTGCTTCCTCTAATTTTCAGCCACCTAGAGAAAATCTCTTCAGGAGATGATGGCTGAAAAAGTGTCATTCCAAAAAGGAAGGAGTAGAATTTCCATTTTTTAGGATTTATCAACCAATGAAACATGAAGTCACTAGTGAAAGGTCAAACTCCCTTCACACACTTTTTCCTTGTGAATAGGGATAAACAAAACATCAAATTCTTCTATTCAGTATTAGCAAATACTGAGTTTACTCTTTAAAGGGTGCATTTTTTTCAGTAATATTAAATAATAACTATTTGTAACTCTCTCCTTAGATTGATTTTTTCTTCCTGCATTGACATTCTGTGGGTTTCTCATTGTTTTTTATGCTTTGTACAGATATGTGAATCTAAGCTTAAACCACTGTATTTGGTTGCCCTTCTACAAGAGTTAAAGGGGGAGAAGTGTATTGTTTTCACATCATCTGTAGAGTCAACTCACAGACTTAGTACCTTGTTGAATGCTTTTGGTGATTTACAATTACAAATAAAGGAATATTCAGGTCTTCAACGTCAATCAGTACGAAGGTATGTCACAAAATGTACTTGTAGAAAAATAGGAAGTTGTCAAGTGCATTCCAGTTTATCTGCATTAAGTTGCACTTGGTAGACATGCATGACCAATTCTTACCATCTCACTGGTTCAAATTAGGAGATATAGATGCCAGTTAATGCCATCAAATGCTGTCGAGGGCCATTGATCTGGATCTTATCATAATCTGGATTCCAGTTCTAAATGATAGACCCATTTATAATTGGATTATTTTTGGATATATGTAATCTGATCCAGTTGACAGGGTTTAGTTAAATATATTTGTTTAGATGCATAGTAGATAAATATTTTAGCATCTTAACATCCATGCCTTGGTGTTCTGTTTTGGATGACACTTTTATTTAATCTTATAAGGATATCTCTCTCTGACCAGATTTGAAGTGGATCTAATATATTAAATGTGTAACCAGATTGAACCCAGACATTACCCATATCTTATTCAAATAGACATACATTCCTAGTTCTAATTCCAAACTTATTGGATTAGTATTATTCTCCAATCTATCATACTCTTGTGGGTGGTCAGAGATGCCACAAGGAGGCAAGGAAAAGGCTCATAGTTTCAAACATTTAGAAATATCCAACTGTTACTGGTTGAGTTTTGGCATGTGGTCCCTGCTGGGTTCTGCCCCATGCATATTTGCTGCTTCCATGACTGCTTATTAGACAATCAAAACAACTATGTCTAATAACATTTCAGAAAGCCCATTTACTGGATAATTCATTCATACAGAAACAGGTGAGTATTTACTTTGTTATATCTGATGTTATATGGAAATTTTCAATGTTGCACAATGTTATGGTCCCGCGCGTAGGATCTCGTCACGGGTTGGTCCATGGTGAGAAAGCCCTGCTTTTCCTTGCGCCTTCCCTTGCGTGTAGACCCTATTGCGGTAACTGAATGGGTGATTTGTCCAAGAGACCACCCGAACTCTCCCTTGGGGTGATTTGTCCAAGAGATCACCCGAACTCTCCTCATTCTTTTACTGAATGCCTTTATTTCAATTCGTGGCTCCTTAAATAGGAGATTACAGAAGGAAATTCCTAATTAAACTCAAACTCCAACTTGAACTCAAACTCTCAATTACCTACTCCTAATGGTAACACAACTCTTACTTAAGATAAGGATAAGGATAAGATAAGATAAGGGATAAGGGATAAGGGATAAGGGATAAGATAGGGATAAGGGATAAGGAATAAGATAGGGATAAGGGATAAGGAATGGTGTAGCTGGCGGCGAGTTGGCGAGCATAGCTGATGTGGTAAGATAAGTGTGGACCCACCTTGATGAGCTGTCATGTGGGTCCCGCCCTACTGTTGCTGCCCGGGTGGTGCGTGTGTCTCGCGATGCTGCTGCCGTGAGGTGCGTGCTGCTGTCGGGCGGTGTGTGCTGCGTGCTACCAGGCGGTGTGTGCTGTGCGCTGTCGGGCGGTGCGTGCTGCTGTGCGGCGCTGCTGGGCGGTGCGTGTTGCTGGGCGGTGTGTCCATAACATCACACCCCTCCTGGACTGCGAGCTTGTCCTCAAGCTCGATTTCTGGATACGTGGCTTGGAACTCTGCGGATGGATCAAACGGCTGCACACTATTTCTTAGTCCACCAACAGTATGAACAACAGGGACTGCCTCGTAGCTCAGTGCATAACGCTGGTTCAGTCCACATGGCTCAAATCGAGAAGGCATGAGTAGGATGTCAGCAGTTATTCGATGGTCCATTTGCATAGAGGAAGCAACCCAACCCCTGATTTTGCCATGGTTTCGACTCTCAAGATGTTTGAGAAGCTGTTCCCGGTCAGGTCTCCCAGTGCCCAACATGACTAGTTGCACATCCTGGTCCACCATCCAAGGAATGGACTCAACAACGAGATCAACACCTTTCTGATGGTCAAGCCTTCCAATGAACCCAATCAGAGGAACATTCTTCCGAAGAGGAAGACCAAGCTCCCTTTGTAGAGCTGCTTTGCATTGGGGCTTGCCAGTCTGAAGAGTCTCCGCAGGGTAATTGGTGTAGCCATCCGATGCCAGGTAAACATCTAACCGTGGGTTCCCTTCGTTTGCATCAAATCACATTCACGATGCCCTTCAGCTTCCAATCAAACTCATTTATTATTTGATGCAGACCCCAACCACCTTCTTTAGTTTCCAGCTCCCAGGCGTAACCATGGCTTACAGTGACTACACGATCTGCTGCTCTCAGGCCAGCTGCAAGGAAGTGTTCCCCACCTCCTGGGTCATATAATTTGAAGTAGTTTTGTGGAAGATCCACATAACAAAAATCGCGTACTGGACCACGACCCCGGTGTGCTATGTTGTGGATCACAGGAACGCACCGGGTATGCTTACAGAAGAGAACCTTAAGAGCAACCTTACCGAAGCGAAACATGCATTTTTAAATATCCTCTCGGCCTCCCCCATATATATTTTTCTCAATATTGCGAAACATAGGGCTGTCCATGAACACAAAATCCATGCCAGCAATGTAAGCTTGAAAGAAAGTTACCTCCATATCCTGCCCATCTACCTTATATCTTTTGCGCACTCCTGTTTCTTGGGCTTCTGCATAGTTACCATACCGTGGTGCCACAATCATAACTCTATGTTCACGCCGAGCCAAAGCCTTCGGTAAAGTCCCAGCAACATCGCCAAGTCCACCTGTCTTCGACAAAGGAGCGCATTCTGTAGGTACCAATATAATGTTCGTGACATTGTCCCCGACCAAAGGAGGAGACTTTACAGTCTCATCCTCTGTGCGTTGATCCTTGGTAATAACTGCGGCTGTAGGGGCAGCGATTTGCTGTTCGCTGGATGCCTCTGCCCAGTCCGGACGGCGACTGTTTGTGTTGGCGATTCCCTCAGAACTTCTTTCTTTGTTGGAGAGGAATGCTTCCAGCAGGCGTCGCATCTCCCGGACATCTTCCCTGACTTCACGAACCTCCATGCTGGTTTCTGCTAGCCTATGTTCCAGTTCGTTGACCTTGAATGATAGCTGCTCCATATCGCCCGTGACGTTTGGCTCTGATACCAAATGTTATGGTCCCGCGCGTAGGATCTCGTCACGGGTCGGTCCACGGTGAGAAAGCCCTGCTTTCCCTTGTGCCTTCCCTTGCGTGCATACCTTATTGAGGAAACTGAATGGGTGATTTGTCCAAGAGACCACCCGAACTCTCCCTTGGGGTGATTTGTCCAAGAGACCACCCGAACTCTCCTCACTCTTTTCTTGACTGGAAAACTGAATGCCTTTATTTCAATTTGTGGCTCCTTAAATAGGAGATTACAGAAGGAAATTCCCAATTAAACTCAAACTCCAACTTGAACTCAAACTCTCAATTACCTACTCCTAATGGTAACACAACTCTTACTTAAGATAAGGATAAGGATAAGATAAGATAAGGGATAAGGGATAAGATAGGGATAAGGGATAAGGAATGGTGTAGCTGGCGGCGAGTTGGCGAGCATAGCTGATGTGGTAAGATAAGTGTGGACCCAGCTTGATGAGCTGTCATGTGAGCCCCGCCTTACTGCTGCTGCCCGGGCGGTGTGCGCGTCTCGCGATGCTGCTGCCGTGCGGTGCGTGCTGCGCGCTGTCGGGCGGTGCGTTCTGCTGTGCGGCGCGTACTGTGCGCTGCCGGGCGGTGCGTGCTGCGCTCTGCCAGGCGGTGCGTGCGGTGCGCTGCCGGGCGGCTGTGCGGCGCTGCCCGGCGGTGCGTGCTGCTGGGCGGTGTGTCCATAACACACAATGGAATATCCAAGGAAAACCCATGATGACTTGATGGTGGATACCTGTACAAGGGTGCTGTATCATGTTGAAAATTTTGTATCCTATACCATATCCTGCTCTGTCCTTGCTGTATCTTGGAAACATAGTGGCAAATCCATTCAGCAGGTCATAAGTAGGGCAGTAAATTGGTGAAACTAGACCTAGCACTGGAGTTATTTTATTTAGGGCAAAATAGTACACAACTAAAGGAAGAAAGAGAGAACAGAGGGGATTAAAAGACAGAAAGAAAACCATGTTGGGAGAGGGAGGGAAATATGGGTGATCAGCCCATTTCGCTAATATTTATATATCTGGAAGAAATGGAATAATCTTCAAAAAAAAATCACTGGTCATACCACGGATAAAAAAATACATAAAAAGGACTTCATCTTTCATCAATCTGATGAGCATATAGATTTATCATTCCAAGCTTGCTAATATGGTTTTCACTTATTACAATAACAGATTTGCCAGATTACCAGTTTATTAGTTTTAATTGGACTTCGGTGCACTAAAAATGAAATTATGCATTGCAGCAAGACATTGAATGCATTTAGGAATGGGGAAGTACAAGTACTTGTTTCTTCAGATGCAATGACTCGTGGGATGGACGTCGAAGGTGTGATGAATGTTATTAATTATGACATGCCTGCTTACATTAAGACATATATTCACAGGGCGGGCCGGACTGCAAGGGCTGGCAAGACTGGTTGTTGCTTCACCTTTCTGCGTAAACATGAGGTATGAGGTTAACGGCTTTCAATATTCTCCATGCTATAATCTATATTAAGAATTCATGTAGCTGACACAGAACTGAATGGTGAAACAGGATTCATGTTGCCAATCTCATATAGTTGTGACAAGGATTAGTTGATGATGATCATTTTCTCCAATATTGGTAACAAACAAATGAAAATAGGAATGTAATTACAATTTTTTGGTAATAAAATAAAAAAGAAAATTACAAGGTGACCAGAAGTTACCCAAGAGAGAAAAAGAAAAACACTACATCTCCCCCACCCATACCTCCTAACCAAAAAACAACCCATCATGAGAAAAAACCCAAAAACCAAACTCTCTAATCACTGATAATAATCAACAGAACACCAAAATATGGATAACATTTTTTTTCGATAAGTAAAAGATTCTTTAAAATTTCATTAAATCAGAAAAAATAAGCAACTGTTACAAGCTTCCCCAAAGGAGATACGAGATGCAGCCTTAATCGTAAAGAAAAGACAGCACAAAAATTACAACTGAGCCCAAAACAATTGATCCCTAGTTACCCCTTGCTTAGCTAATGAATCAATCATAGCATTTGCCTCCCTTCCCACCCATTGTATAATTAAGCTCATCTGTTGTGTTAACCATTTGAATTTCATTTTGTCTAGACAGCGCCATATCACTAAATTCGGGCCTTTTAACCAGCCCACCACCACTTTGGAATCCCCTTCAATCTGAATACCTTGTAGGACTGCAAACAGTTCATCCCTTATAAAGTCTCCATTCCCCACCGGTCCTAAAAAAAGTGCCATCAGATTTCCTTCCCTATCTCTTATGACTCCAATTCCAGACGGACCTGGATTGCCTTGGCTACTTCCATCCAAATTTAATTTCAAAAATCCTTCACTGGGAGGTTCCCCTAACAACCTTGTTTTTGTCTTCTGTACTGAACTAGAAGCCACTGATAACCAGTTCCTCCAAATATCATTGAAGGAGAACTGTCCAAAGAGATCCAAAGTTAGTAGCCAATGTATATCTCTGGTCAAGTTATAATCCATAATTTCTTGTTTTCTTCTCTGCTTCTCTTGGAAGATCCTAGCATTTCTTTCCTCCCGTAAGGTCCAAATCACTGCTGCTCTGGTGCATCTCCACATTATTCTTCCCCTTCTTTTTGGCCACGCAAAGGTAGTCGGATCAAACAACATCTTCATCTCCATTGCCATGTTCCATCTGCACCCAAACAAAGAGAAAAACCACTCCCAAATATTTGCAGCAAAGGAGCAGGAGATTAGTAAGTGGTAACAAGATTCACCATCTGATTTACATAAAATGCACCAGTGCGAGGAAATACACAGAAATGGCCTCTTCTTTTGTAGGTAATCCCGAGTGTTAACTTTACCGTAAGCCACTTCCCAACAAAAAACCTTAATTTTTGGAGGAATCGGTTGACACCAAACTTCCTTAGAAGGAAAGGAAAGAGGGATAGGGGACTGGCAAAGAGCACTAAAAAATGAGGCACAGGGAAAGAGACCTTTAGGACTTGGACACCAAACCCTTCTGTTCAGTTTTGGAGGATCTAAGCATACTCTTCCAAGAAGCAACAACAACTCTAACAGAGAGGTGAATTCTTCAACCCTCAATCCCCTTCGAAACCCAAAGTCCCAATTATGACCCAGAGGCAAAATAGGAGGTGCTAGAAAAAAAAGAGATGCATTCATCAAAAAAAAAAAAAGAAGAGATGCTCTCATTTTTATACAAGGAGATGGATTACAAAGAAGGAAACAAGTCCTTTAGAGGCTGGTCCCCCAACTAGATGTCTTCCCAGAAGCGAATTAAGTTACTTGAACAAACATCATACTTGATAAACTGGAGGAAATGAGGAATAATGTTGTGGATTGCTTTCCAAGGTGCTACCAAAGTAGTCCGAAGTGATACACCAGCATCCCATCCACTCTCCAATCTCCCATTGGATACTGCCCACCACCTCATGCCATAAGCTATCCCTCTCTAAAGGCCATCTCCCTAACCACTTCCCTAATAGAGCATTACAGCCATATTCTTTCTCACATTCCCAATTCTTAAGCCACCCTCTTTCTTGCTTTTTTACACACAATTTCCCATTTAACTAGGTGATATTTTTTAGTCTCTCTCGGCTCCCAAAGAAAATCCCTCATGATTTTTTCTAACTTCTTCGCTTCGTTCGGTGGAATCGTAAACACAGAGAGGAAGTAGATTGGTAGGTTAGCCAAAGTTGATCTTATTAGAGTGATCTTACCTCCCAACGAAATATAATTCCTTTTCCAAGCCACCAATCTCTTCCCACATCTTTCTACAATTGGGTTCTAGAATCTACTATTCTTAGGGTTGGCGCCTAAAGGAAGACCTAAATAAGTTTAAATCATCATCCTCCATGTTAACCCCTGCCATGCAACTCTTACCTAAGTTGATTTTCAGGTTTGAGATCCCTTTAAACTTCTTGATCAATTCTTTTAATCTCCTCACTCTCCAATCCCTAATCTCATCTTCCCTATCAGCTTTAGAGAGGAGCAATGTTTTAAAAGTCGTGCCTAGGCACAGAGGCGAGGTGCATTCCAGGCCATACGCCTCGCCCAGGCTAAGGCGCATGCACCTCAGGAAGGTGCTCGCCTTGGTGCCTAGGCGTGCGCCTTAGGCCAGGTGCCAGGTGGCCCATGCGAGCGCCTTATCAAGGTTTTTGAAAATTTGGACTGAGTGTATATTTTTTTTAATAGATAATTGTTAGCTTCTATAAAAAGTGTTTTTCTTTTATTTTTTTATACGTATTGCATATCATATAGTAAAAATACTAGAAAATAGAGGGGGAAAGTATAAAAAAACTTCCTAAAACAAGAAAACAAAGAGGGAGACGAACAGTTTTCTTCGAAAGGCTGAAGAGGAAGGAAGAACAGCAATTGCATGTTCGAACTCCAGCAGGAACAGCAGCATATTGCCATATTCAATCGAAAATAGTTTTTCTCTTCTTCTTCTTCTTCTTCTTCTTCTTCCAGAACTGTTTTGGATTGTGAAACAGGGGCTCCGCCCTAGTCTTCTTCTTCTTCCAGGTTCATTTCTGTTTTTATTTTCCTCTGGTTTGCACCGAAAACAGAGGCTCCATCCCTTCGTCTTCTTCACTGTTTATTTATTTTTTCTTTTTTGCTCTCGTCTCTGGTTTGTGCCAAAAACAGGGGTTCCGCCCCTCCTCCTCCTTCCTTATTCATTGTTTTTTTTTTCATTGCTGTTTTAAACCGAAAACAGGGGCTCCGTCCCTTCTTCACTGTGTTTGCACCAAAAAACAGGGGCTCCACCCCTTCTTCTTTTTCACTGTGTTTGCACCAAAAAACAGGGGCTCCCGCCCCTTCTTTTTCACTGTGTTTGCACCAAAAAACAGGGGCTCCGCCCCTACTTCTTTTTCACTGTGTTTGCACCAAAAACAGGGGCTCTGCCCCTTCTTCTTCACTGTGTTTGTACCAAAAAACAGGGGCCCCGCCCCCTTCTTCTTTTTCACTGTGTTTGCACCAAAAACAGGGGCTCTGCCCCTCCTCCTCCTCCTCCTCCTCCTTCCTTATTGTTCATTTTTTTTTTCCATCACTGTTTTAAACTGAAAAGAGGGGCTCTGCCCCTTCATCTTCTTCACTGTGTTTGTACCAAAAAACAGGGGCTCTGCCCCTTCATCTTCTTCACTGTGTTTGCACCAAAAAATTCATCTTCTTCACTGTGTTTTCAGTTTTGCACGAAAAACAGGGCCTATTTTTGCAATCATTATGAACAGCAAATATACCCTAATCTTTTTGAGTTTTTGATTTCCTATTTCACAAAGCACTGTGGGCTTCACAAGAACTTGATTCTTCTTTTAAATAACTTGTTCAGGTGAACAAACAACACAGTTTTTGTATTTTTTCTGATTCTTTTTTTTAATTTTTATGTATTTTTCAATTTTTTTTACATTTTCTGAAAATTCTGTGCGCCTTTTTGAAAAATGCGTGCGCCTCACTTGCGCCTTGAGCCTCGGGCGCAAATTGGCCCCTGCACCTTTTTTGTGCCTTACGCTTTTAAAACACTGGAGAGGAGTCTACTAAACACATCGACCACTAAAGTAAAACGGAAGGGTGAGAGAGGATCCTCTTGCCTTAGTCCTCTATAAGCTGGGAAGAAGTCTTTCACCACTCCATTAACAATGATAGAGAAGTGATAAGATCGAATACAATCAAACACCCAATGACACTTTCTCTCCCTAAACCCACGTTGATGCATCACCTCTAATAAGAAATTCCAGTCCACTAGATCATAAGCTTTTTTTTTTTTTTGATCAATAATCATAAGTTTTTTCTAGGTCCAGTTTGCACACAAAACCTTCCTTCCCTGATTTCTTCAATTCCTCTACACGTTCATTGGCTATTAGGATTTGGTCGATTATTTGTCTCCCTTGAACAAAAGCTCCTTCAAACTGACTTATGAGAGAGGGCAGTACCACTTTAATCCTCAAAGATAAGACCTTAGCAATTATTTTGTAGATATTGGTCACCTAATGGGTCGAAAATGCTTTGGTTGGCTCACATAAGTTTCTTTTTTGGAATTATGGCCAAAAAAGTTGCATTAACTCTAGGACTAACAACATGTGTATTCGAGAATTCTTTGAAGACATAAAATAATTCATCTTTCACCACTTCCCAACAATCCTAATAAAGAGCCATTATAAAACCATCTGGACTTGGTACTTTAGATCTGCCCATAGAAAAAACAGCCCTTTTTATTTCTTCTTCCTCAAAATCCCTTTCTAGCCACCTTGCTGCCTCCTCTTCTAATAAAGGCCACTCTAACCCTTCTAAGTCCCAATGTCCTTCTATACAAGGATTTGGAATGGTCCACATTCCACAAAGATCCTGGCTATCTCATCTTGGTTTGAGGTCGCTTCCCCATTTACTTCCAGCCTAGCCACAAAATTCTTGTGCCTTCTGCCGTTGGCCATCGCATGAAAAAATTTTGTGTTTCCATCCCCTTTC